GCAGCCCAAAGCTTGGCCTGTCATGTGCTTAAACTTTACAGCATCATTGTGGGACAAGACACTCCCAGGCGATGATTGTCATTAAATATTACACTAAGTGGAGTTTATGCATTTCCTTACATAACAGTCTTTGGAGCATCCTGATCCACCTCAACCAGAAAATAAACCATTGAATTAGAGCTGTTGCTGCTAAACAAAAGTAATTGTCAGAATGGCACCACCCTGGGGAGTCAACGGCACACACAAAAGCAACAAACACATCCTGATGGTTAAATATAATGCTGAGTACAAAGAGCCTCTTCCAGGAAGTGTATGACTGAGTCAGTATAGGTTGTTAATAAAGGCAGCTGCTGCAGCCTCAGATTCACATGTTTTCATCTATGTCATCTGCACAGCTGGGTTGGCTTGCAGAGCCCTCAAAATATGCTGATTTCTGTGTAAAACCTTTCAGCCAAGTGGCCCTGTACTCGTGTGGCTTGTGTCTTTCCAAACAGGTGAGGATTATACGTCAGGCCTCTGCAGAGATCTGGTAAATTGATGTCTCTGCTGCTAGAGGTTTACAAAGTGAACCTGGACAGGAGTATTTTACTTTGTCCATCATGACATCAGCATCATTGTTGCGGATTAAAAACAAACTGACAGTAAATAGAAGGTAAAACAGGCATGCGGTGTGCAGGTTTAACCTCGGCTGCACTTGATTTAAACTGATCTGTTTTTAGGTTTTTAGGTTAAGGTAAACCAATGAGGGTCTCTCTGTTGACTTTTAGAAATGACAGCTGCTGATTTTGTCCCTTATTTTAATTTTTGGCCATTTTACCAGAACTTTTCACATTTTCTTTAAGTCTCAAACATCTCACCTTGGACTCTTTTCACATTTTGGCATAGAGTAATGTGTAATTGACACATTTACAAATACAAATTTGGAAGATAGAGATTGGCATTTATTCAATGTCAATATAGTGTTCAAAATTATTAATCAAAAATTAGCCCAACCTATTTAGATTTGATGCAGTAGAGTGGTGTGAACAGTGTATTTTAAGTTCTTTTTACATATCTCATGTGGACGAAGGTCTGAGCTTTGACTAGGCCATCCTAGCAGGCAATAAAAAATCATGACTAGATGTTGTCTTTTTAAGACATATTCCATCTTTTAAAGGGATAGTTTATCAAGTTGTAGAAAAAAAAGCTACTTGTGACTAGTTTAGTCCTTTTCATATACAGTTCAGGACTGGTTTAAAATAAGGCACTTCATGTTTGGTTTAGGGTGATTTGAAGTGCTGCTCTCAATTTACACTGTGTACAGGTCTACTGTGCTGAGCTGCGGACTCTACAGAAAGTAAGCAGGCATTACAATCAATGACTGTGGACTAACTGTGTTTACATGGCGTTAGTGCAGGGTGGGCAGCTCGCTGCAAAAAATCAACTTGTTTCTAATTTGGAGGGGCGCCAGAACCAGACCTCAGTTACAACAGATAAACCCCATCATACCAACAATTACTACGATTTAGTTTATAGCTATGATATGAAACATTTCTCATACTTTAATATGCAGTCTGTAATTACATTTGTCACTGAGGGACATTCAGGTTTTTATATAGTTTTGTGTTTGTATATATTTCTAAAATATTAAATTGGAGGATTTTCATAAACATGGCAAAATAATTGGCATATGCCTGTACAGGTTTCTGTTGTGAATATTATGGGTATTGTTTGAGGCTTTTTTATTTTGAATATCGACATTAAGAAATATATTGTAATACAGGATTTTGCCTTACCTTCCAGCCCAAATAAAGGAGTTAATGAAGCTTTTCTGCACTAAATGTAGTCACTTATTGTAGAATATAACTAGTGGAAATATCTGGATGCCAAAAAACGCAAAGTGAAGCAGTTTTAACTATTTTAAAATCAATAGTAGACGATGTTTTGGTCAGATTTTTCAGTTTATCACTGGCTTTATTGCACGATCAGCAAATGCTTCTTGGAGCTCCTCTGGGCTTTGCATCACAGTGGAGCAGGCGGAGTAGGAGGGTAGATAGGCTAAAATTGTCACGTCAGCTGATTATTCTACCTGAACTGTTGCTCTGCAGCTCCTGCATGGTTACCATGGACCTTTTTCCTATTGACAGGCCCATCAGTGAGCTATACAGCCATGTCATTATAGGTTTTCAGCTTTAACTATTACAACCCTGACTGTAGATTAAGGATGTAAAATAGACCAAAATGGCGAAAGAAGGGGAATGCTTGTCCAGACAAGAATTATCTGGAGCAGCTGATCAGTCCTCCTTTGATTGGCCGAGACACTGACATAAATTTATTTTTCTACGATTATAAGGAGAGAGAGAAAATTTATGCATATATTTATTATTTTTCTATTTACGTTTGCTTATTAAAAGCCTCAGATCAGGACTTCATGTAATCCTCAAGACTGGTGTTTATACCAGACTGAGAAAACTCTCTTTGTCCTCTTGGAACCAGGATGTAAGCTTGTGCATCCACTCAGAAGTAAAAGGATTAATTGGATTAGAGTTGAGGTAAGGTGGGATGAGGGGGAGGAGGGGATCTCATTAAGCTGCAGGTGTCGGTCAACTCCCAGCAGAAGTCACTCATCATCCTGGTCCCCTCCTAGGTAACTGTTTGTCACTTAGTTTTTAATTACAGCATATATCTACCTAAGGTACAGTAAACCCAGTTTTACAGGGAAAGACTTTCCTAGTTTGATCTGCTTATTTGCATACATTTCTCCATGGGAACTAAAGCAGAAAGAAATTGAGCATCAGTGTCCCCCTGATTGAAGCTGACACTCAAAGGGAGGCTTTGCTAACATCACTGTTTCAGCTTTAAGTTGCTGCACTTTGTGTTTTTTTTTTTTTTTTTTTTTTTTTTTTTTTTTTACAGTGTCCTGTCTGGCAATGTGGCAATAAGAATAATTGTCTTGATGCCAAAAGGAGCTCAACAGATTTTACTTTCACAAGTGTAGCGGTATGGCAATTGCCATAATACTCCACTTGTTTCATGCATATAAATTGCTTTATTATATTTAGGCAGGGAGTTTTACGGTTTATATGGACACTGCAATGTATGTACAGCAGAAAAACAGAAGAAGAAAAAGGAAAAAAAAGGAGAAAAGATGAAAGAAAGAGGAGATAGAAAGGAGACAATGACAAAACATTTTCAGTCTGCTTCATCACCTGTAACGAGATGAAAAGAACAGCACAACCAAAAGACATGGTACGAGATATACAATAAAGCAACACCTTGAAACTATCGCTAAAGTCTGACATGTACTCTGTGTTACCTGAAGATATGGATGGATTTAGTTTTCTAAACAAGAATTCAATTCAATTCAGTTTATTTATATAGCGCCAAATTCACAACACATGTCATCTCAAGGCACTTTACAGTTCAACCAGATCATACAGTCAAATTGATACAAAGTTTTCTATCTAAGGAAAACCAGTTGATTGCATCGACTCAAATACAATCCCTCACACTAAGCATGCTTGTAGCGACAGTGGAGAGGAAAAACTCCCTTTTAACAGGAAGAAACCTCCAGCAGAACCAGGCTCAGTGTGAGCGGCCATCTGCCGAGGCCGACTGGGGTTCAAGGAGACAGAAGCAGAGATACAAAAAGCAGCTGTAAAAGGCGGCCCCGTCCGGGAAACACACAGCCAGGCAGACGAGCTCCAAGGCAGCTCCCATGCCAGAGGACGAAGAGAGCACATCCAGCCAGTCACGGTCAGAGAAACAGGACCACTCTGGAAAACAGGCCGATCTCCAACATCTATAAACAAGGGTGTTGATGGAAGCAGCACAGCTGATGTTTCTTTCCAGGATGACGTCACAGCCAAACAGGAACAGACGAGGCAAAGCTACTCTGAGGAAAAGCAGAGAGAACAGAAGGTTAGAGATTGAACTAACAGATTCTGCAGTTAGGAGAACAGAGAGAGAATGAAGCAGAAGGATGAAATGGGGGTCCCTATGTCCTCAAAAAGTCTAAGCCTATAGCAGCATAACTATAGAGATAGCTCAGGATAACCTGAGCCACTCTAACTATAAGCGTTATCAAAAAGGAAAGTTTTAAGTCTAGCCTTAAAAGTAGACAGGGTGTCTGCCTCACGGACTAAAACTGGTAGTTGGTTCCACAGGAGAGGAGCCTGATAACTAAAAGACCTGCCTCCCATTCTACTTTTAGAAATTCTAGGAACCACTAGTAAACCTGCAGATTGAGAGCGAAGTGCTCTGTTAGGAACATAAGGAACAATCAGATCTCTGATATAAGATGGAGCTTGGCCATTTAAGGCTTTATATGTGAGAAGGAGGATTTTAAATTCTATTCTTGATTTAACAGGAAGCCAATGAAGAGAAGCCAGGATAGGTGAGATATGATCTCTCTTTTTAATTTTCATTAGAACTCTGGCTGCAGGATTTTGGATCAGCTGAAGGCTTTTAACTACAGTTTGTGGACTTCCTGATAGTAAAGAATTACAATAGTCCAGCCTTGAAGTAACAAATGCATGGACTAGTTTCTCAGCATCACCCCTGGACAGGATATTTCTAATTTTTGCAATGTTCCTCAGATGAAAGAAGGAAATTCTAGAAACCTCTTTGATATGGGATTTAAATGACAGGTCCTGATCAAAGATAACACCAAGATTTTTTACTTTATTATCTGAAATCAGTTTAATCCCATCCAAATGAAGTGACTGGCTAATCAGTTTCTTTTTCAGAGACTCTGGTCCAAAGACTATAACTTCTGTTTTATCTGCATTCAGAAGCAGAAAGTTAAGAGTCATCCAGGTTTTTATGTCTTCAAGACATGCCTGTAATCTATGTAATGGGTTAGCTTCATCTGGATTTATAGCCAGATATAGCTGGGTATCATCAGCATAACAGTGGAAATTAATCCCATGCTGTCTAATAACTCTACCAATTGGGAGCATGTATAAAGTAAAGAGAATTGGTCCTAGCACTGATCCCTGTGGTACTCCACAGGTAACCTTTGAGCGTGTTGAAGATCTATCATTAACATGAACAAACTGAATTCGATCAGATAGATACGATTTAAACCAGTCTAGTGCTGTTCCTTTAATTCCAACAAAATATTCAAGTCTTTCTAAAAGAATATTATGGTCAACTGTATCAAATGCAGCACTAAGATCCAATAGGACGAGCACAGATACAAGTCCATTATCTGAGCCCATGAGAATATCATTAGTGACTTTCACCAGAGCTGTTTCAGTGCTATGATGAGCTCTAAAGCCAGACTGAAACTCTTCAAAAAGTTCATTATGGTGTAAGTGATCGCAAACTTGTTTGGCAACTACTTTCTCAAGAATTTTGGATAAGAAAGGAAGATTGGATATAGGTCTATAATTGACCAAGTCATCTGGGTCAAGAGACGGTTTCTTAAGCAGAGGTTTAATTACAGCAACCTTAAAAGCTTTAGGTACATATCCCTGTAACAGAGATAGATTAATCACATCTAAAATGGAGGAGGAGATCAAAGGGAATACCTCCTTAAATAACCTGGTTGGAACTGGATCTAACATACAAGTTGAAGGCTTAGATGAAGACAATAATTTTGCTAATTCAGAAAGTTCAACTGGATCAAAGCAGTCTAAACCCGGTTCAGATTCCATGACTACCTCAGGTACAATCGTGGATAGGAGTGCTTGTGATTTTATTTTTAATAAGATCAATCTTATTTATAAAGAATCCCATAAAATCATTGCTGCTAAGAGCAGGTGGAATGGACGGTTCAACAGAGCTATGGCTCTGGGTGAGTTTGGCAACTGTATTAAAAAGAAATCTAGGATTATTCTTATTCTCCTCTATTAATGAGGAGAAGTATGCTGCTCTTGCTTTACAAAGGGTCCTCTTATACAGCATTAAACCATTTTTCCAGACTAGGAAGGACTCCCGCAGGCCTGTGGAGCGATATTTTCTCTCCAGTTTCCTAACATTTTGCTTCAAAGTACGCAGCTCTGCATTAAACCAAGGAGCAAGCTTTCTATTTTTAACGGTTTTCATTTTCAAAGGAGCTGCGTTGTCTAAGGCAATACGCAGAGAACTAGCAACCCCATCAACAAAATCATCAACCTGTGAAGGGGAATAAGCTATGCTTTTGCACTCTGCAGCACTGCTCAGCGACACAGAGGAGAGAGAAAGTGAAGCAGATTCTTTAAAATTTATAACTGCACTATCTGATAAAGATCTACTAAAATTGAACCTTCTTTTGGGGGAGGAGAACTCTGTTAAAGTAATCCTGAAGGTTATTACAAAGTGGTCAGAGAGGACAGGGTTGTGAGGAAATACTGTTGTTTCTTCACATTCTATGCCGTATGTCAGCACAAGATCCAAAGTATGAAGATGAGAATGTGTGGGACTATTCACATTTTGAACAAAGCCAATAGTGTCTAAGATAGCATTAAAGGCTGCTCTTAAGCTATCGCCTTCAATGTCAGCATGGATGTTAAAATCTCCCACTATGATGACCCTGTCAGTATTTAATACCAAATCAGAAAGGAACTCTGAAAACTCATCTAAAAATTCAGAGTAAGGACCTAGTGGACGATACAAAGTTACAAAAAGAAGAGGTTTTCTTGCCTTGAAATTTGGATCAGGGAAATTAAGGGTTAAATGTTCAAAAGAGTTGTAGGTATTAACTGTTTTGGGAGTAATCAGTAAGTCAGACTTGAAGATTGTTGCTACTCCTCCTCCTCGCCCAGAACTTCTGGGTATGTGAAAATTTAAATAGCTTGAAGGAGTTGCCTCATTTATGCTCACATAATCCTCTTGCTGCAGCCAGATTTCTGTAAGGCAAAACAAGTCAATGTGATTATCACAAATCAAGTCATTAACTAGTAGACTTTTAGGGGAAAGCGATCTTATGTTAAACAGACCGCATTTAATTGTTTTAACTTTTTCCCCAATTGGAGTTATTTTGATTTTAATTAGGTTATCATGATTTACTCCTTTGGGAATCTTTGCTAATTTATTAGATTTTGGTCGTGGACAAGACACTGTCTGGATGGAGTAAAGAGTGGGTAACAGTAGAGAAGCTGCAGAGAAGTGTGTTAAACTACAACTCTGCTTCCTGGTCTGCACCCTGGGTGGTCAGGGTTTTGGAGGACTAATAAATGTGGCCAGATTCCTAGAAAGAAGAGCTGCCCCATCCAAAGTGGGATGGATGCCGTCTCTCCGAATCAGACCAGGCTTTCCCCAAAAGGATTGCCAATTATTAATGTAGCCCACGTTGTTTTCAGGACACCACCTAGACAACCAGCGGTTGAATGACGACATGCGGCTAAACATGTCATCACTGGTCAGATCAGGGAGGGGACCAGAGAAAATTACGGAGTCCGACATTTTTTTGGCAAACTTACACACCGAAGCAACACTAATTTTAGTGACCTCCGATCGGCGTAACCGGGTGTCATTACCACCAGCGTGAATAACAATCTTACTGTATTTAACCTTATCCTTAGCCAGTAGTTTCAGGTTGGATTTGATGTCGCCCGTTCTGGCCCCCGGCAAACATTTGACTATGGTCCCTGGTGTCTCTAATGCCACGTTTCTGACTATGGAGCTGCCAATCACCAGAGTGGGCTTCTCAGTGGGTGTGTCACTGAGTGGGGAAAACCGGTTAGAAACGTGAACGGGTTGGTGGTGACCAGTGGGCAGAGATCCACGACTACGCTTTCTGCGTACAGTTACCCAATCGCCTGGCTGCTCAGGCACTTTTGGAGGACAGCTACGTGGGGGGCCTACTTTAACCCCTGGATGTTCAACAGCCTGAAGCCTGGATTCTAACTCTGACACCCTCGCCTCCAAAGCTACAAAAATACTGCACTTATTACACATCCCATTATCACTAAAGGAGGCAGAGGAATAACTGAACATCTGACACAGAGAGCAGGAGAGAGGAGAGGAAGAAGGAAGAGTTGGAAAAGAGTCAAGGGAGGGAGAGAGAGAAGCCATAGCAATGCTAAGCTAGCGCTAGCCTAGGCTAGCTACTCCTTGCTATCAGAAATAAAACCGTGTGAAACTGACAAGTGCTCAGTAGTAAAGTACAGCAGAAGGTGCTATGTTTTAGAGTAGTCAGTTAGAGTTACTTAGATACAGAGATATCACAGAGAAAATAACTTAACTTCAGATGGAGTTCCTCTGGACAGCTGCAACAGCTGCACACTCAGTTAATCTAAACAGGAAGTGAACAGGTCCAAACAGCAACAAGAAGCACCTTAGGTTTTTTTTAGAATATTGTATTTTCTTTTCTTTTCTTTTTTGTTTTTTTTTTACAGTGTCCTGTCTGGCAATGTCGCAATAAGAATAATTGCATTGATGCCAAAAAAAGGGCCCAGCAGATTTTGCTTTCAGAAGTGGAGCAGTACAAGTCAAGTCAGCTTTTACTGTCACTTTCTTCATATGTACAAGACATACAAAGGAAATGAAATTACGTTTACTCTCTAGTTTATTCTCTAATTACGTTTACTCTCTACTGTGGCTATCGCCATAGTGTTCTGCTTGATTTATGCATGTAAATAGCTTTATTATAATTAATGCAGGGAGTATTACATACAAAACATCTTCAGTCTGCTTCATAAGATGTAAAAAGAACCCACACAACCAACGGATATTGTATGGGAGATGCACTAAAGTAGCACCTTGATACTAATGCTGAAGTATAAGTAGTAGTATTAAATCTGACATGTATACTGTGGTAGCTGAAGATAAGAATATGGGCTTTCTGTATGTATATTTGTATATAAATATGTAGAATATTGTACATATGTAAATAAAAATCAATCATGATGCACTTTTATAGTGTGATTATGAAACAAATGAGGCTGACCTTCTCTTTTTAATCCTAGAACAAAACCAATCTAATCAAAAGACAAATAGGATAGTTATTTAAATGTGCTTGTTTTTTCCCCCCAGCCATTGAGGATGATGAGAGGCTGTCAGCAGAGGAGATGGATGAGAGGAGGCGGCAGAACATTGCCTACGAGTACCTGTGTCACCTAGAGGAGGCCAAACGGTATGATATGAGGGAAGGGAAGGGGAAATTCATTTCTAAAATACTTTATTAGTCCCACTTTGAAATCAAAAGTTGTTTTACCTGATGACATTTTCTTCAAGTTGTTTGTAGATTCTTATAGCAGTAGGCAGGAAGGATCTACTGTAGAGGTCTGGATATTGAGAAACTGCCGTCTGACTAAGATGAGGCTAAAGGGCTGTCTTTGGTGTCTTCATTCTTATGAGTTTTTCTTTAACTCATGTCCAGATATTCTAGAAAAGCTCTAGAACAGAATCAACTCTCCTTACCATCAGGATGTTCTTGGAGCATAATGGGGATAAATCGCAAAAAGGAAGAAAAATGTAATTTTTCATCTTCTCTGGTCCACTTCTCTCTCCTTTCTTTTTAGCATATTTGCTTATTTAGCCCACTCTTTTCTTTCTTTTTTTTTTCTTAATTTTTTTTTAGTTTGGGAGGCGCCGTTCATATCTCCTTCTAATATGCAAACTATCAGACTGACTCACTGAGACATTGCACTGAACCACCTGCAGCAGAGGGGGTGGTTATACACCAACTTCAAACTGATGTTTCTTATTTTTGTGTTTAAAAGACACAGTTGTTCAACCTGATAGAAGTACCCTGGGAATTCTTCTGAACCCCCCTATGGCCAGACCTCTACCTTCAAAGGCCGAGCTCTATGGGCAGAAACTGTATTTGAATATCAGAAACTGAATTTGAATTGCCCAGAGTTAATCTGTTTATGCAAAATTTGAAATTAAAGGTTTGAAAGTGAAATTCCCTAAATTGAAACTGTATTTTTTAACCTGAAACTGAATAAATCTGCTTTGAAACTGTATTTTATGGCTTAAAAAGTCTTTAGACTAATTTCACTTTCAGTTATAGAAATTAATTTCTATAAATTAATTTCAGAATTTAAGATTTTTATTGACAGATATCAGGGTCCTTGAGAAAGACCTGAGTTATCTGCCCAAAGTGGGAGCGTACATGTTCACCAGATGGTGAATCCATGTGAGTCAGTGGCGTAGTAGGAAGCACACCGGTTCAGTAGGCCGTCTCACCGGTGGGGCGGGTACCCACTTTGTTAATTTTAGGAGAATCGCTAAAACATACGAACACCTAAACAAGCCCACATACCTGTAAATGTAAAAATGAACACATTTTCAAAGCACTGAAGGATCTCTATAAGACGGGTTCCTCACATTTATGTGCAGGTGCGCAGGTATGTCAGCGGTTGATACACATATTGAAATTCATCTAAATTGTCTAATTTCAGCAACATGTCCGAGCACGATTCCAAAACATTATACCAAATGTCCCAAAATAAAACATTGTCAGAAACAATCCTATCTGCAGAGGAGAAAAATGTCCAAAGCCTCTTTGCTGCAAATGTTGAAAATGAAGTACTTAAAAAAAAAAAAATAATAATAATAATAATATAAGAGTCAAAAAAGCTATTTTACCATCTAGTACTGCTCGGTGTGGTCACATTCCTAAAATATGAGGAACACTGATGGTTTAACTCCAAGGCAACCCCCCCAGACATTGCTTCATTATGTGACAACCTTTGGCAATCAAAACCAATAACCAAGATAACAGGAAAATAACTGCAAACTCCACAATCCTGGTTCATCCTTCGGTCCAGTTTTCAGATGACTGAATGTGCCACAATCCTCTAGTGAAACAATTGTATACAAGTTTTAACACCATCGTGGAGAAAGGAGATGGGTGCTTCGTCCCTGAGTTGAAAGAGTTTTGTAGTGCCTGTAAAGGCCGGATCCAAATAAAAGCGATGAAGAAGTTGGATGAAGCTGGGGAAAAAAAAGAAGAGTCTCCATTAGAGGGCAAACTCTGGGTTGACTCAGAAAGAAAGAAATTATTACTTTAAAACCATAAATGGACAGATTACATAATGCAATCACATTGAGGGACAAAGATCTTAACTTCTAAATATGTTTTATAGTTTGATGAAACTAAAATCAAGTATTTTGCTAATGGGCACCGTTATAACATTTGAGGGAAGCTTGCAGGTCAGAGAACACTATCCCAGGTGTGAATTACAGGGCTGTTAGCATTATGCTAATTGATGATCAATATGTGGATGTGATGGGTGGGTCCATTTAACATTCCTATTTTCAAGGGACTGGTGCTATTCACAAAATATATGGCATAACACAGCACAGACTCCCCTGATATCACATCCCTGCAACAGAGATTATTTAAGTAGCCGACTGCCCCCTTTTTTTGTTTTGTCCCATGACCCTCTCAATCGAATAGGCAAGACAACTGGTTGCCAACTGAAGCCATGTTACACGCCACATATTAATAATATAATTTCCAGTTCTAGTTACTTAATACACATATTCAATATATTCCTTATCTGCTTGTAAAGCTGCACAACATATGGACATATAGAGCCTCCCACTTCCCAGAAATCTGGTAAGAAGTGGTAAGTAATAAACTAGTCCTTCAAATAGTGAATGACCCTTAGCATACTTTATGTTTATAGATGTTAAGGCCAAATAAGACAATGTTTTGAAGCAATCCTCAGCAAGCCCTGATCTCAAACCCCCTAGATATTTTTTCATAGAACTAAAGGTGTGTGTGAGTAAATCTGTCTTAAAGTTCTGTTGGGAAGAATGGGCCAAAATTAAAGCAAACCACTGAGAGTAGCTCTTGAGAAAATATGTGAAATATTTAACCCATTTTACATGTTTAAATAGAAATAAAATCCTACAAGGACACTAAGTAAAAGTCTGGAAATTTGAGCAAAGTTAAAATGTATATAGATGTATGAAAACAATAAACATCTCATTGTTTTAATATTTCAAAATTTCAAATACTGTAATAATTTGAAGTAGATAATCTTGACTGGCTTTACACAGACGATTCCATCTGGTTTGATATATAAGGAGAAAATTAGCTGTAATGTTATGCCCAGTATCTGTTTCAGCTTTATTTCCATCTAAGTTTCAGTGATGTGAACTTTCTGGAGAACATTAATGATAATGAAGTGGAAAAAGTGGTCCTCTATGCTAAGAGTCCCTAAACAATGTCCTATCAGATATTTTAACACCACAAACTGATATCTTAGTCTTCAAGTTATTATAAATCTCTTCTCTGAACCAGCCTTAAACGAAACCACTTCCTGTCTTGCATACAAAAGCATCCTACTGCATGAGAAGGAACAGGAAGTCTGCTGGTGCCTCTTCTACCACCCTCTCTTTCTGACACTCCCATTTGACAGACACCAGTACGTCCATTGATTTTTCTACTTTCTCGTGATAATTTAAAAATGAACTTTCTGTTAGGACTTCTACTTTCTGTCTGCCTTTGTTGGCAGGCAGTTGAAATTGCATAGACACTCTGAGCAGACCGGCTAACCTGAATTATCTTCTTATGTCACAGGATAGTAAGGGTTTACAAGAGCTAAATAGAGCAGATACAGAGATCAATCATAGATTATGACACTTTTTATAGTTTATTGGGTGAGTTGTAAAAGCAGGATGTAAACAGGTAGAAATGCTGAGGCTAACCTCCAAATTACCTAATAACCACATTTACCTAAATGGCTTCATCTGCTACTTGTTTTTTAATCTCAGCTGCAGTGACTTTCTGTCCTTCCTTTGTGCAGGGGGACCTGTGCTCTGTGAAATGTGCCTAGTTAAACTGGGATTAAAACACGATTGTAATAAAGCTCTCCACCACAGGGTGCATGGGATTAGGCCCTGGCCTCCCAAGTCTGAATCGTGTGCTATAAAGTAAGACTTATAGTTGGCTCAGTCATTTTTGTCACAGTAGTCTTTGCTGACAAATCAAATTGCTTAGGGGATTTTGTTACTTGGTTTTATGTTCTGTTGTCATGTGTAGAGTTAATGTAAATAAGGTAAACAATTTTTGTCCTGACAATAAGAGCTCCCCCAAAGATAAGGAGCAATGCACCAATGGTTGACCAACGCCTTTACCTTCCTTTTGTCCCTTTACATTAATGGTAGTCAAAGTCAGTCCTCGAGTCAACGTCTTGCATGTTTTAGATCTTTTAGCAATTCAACACACTTGAGTCAAATAAATGAGTCATTAGCAGGCTCTACACAGAATAATTAGCAGCTAATTTACAATGTGCCTGCTGATGTGGTAGGAAACAGCCCGAAAAAGTCCAGGACACCGGGCCTTGAGGTCTGTAGATGAACACTAATTATGTTGCATTCCTCCAGGGGTACATCAAATATTTGCATAATTACATCACCTACTTTGGGGTAGTTGAAAATAGATTTCTGATTTTTATTGAGAACTATTTTACTAGAAATGTACTCTCAAGACAGTTTGTAAGACAGAGTAACACAGCTGATATCCAGAGATATACTGCAAATATATATATAAAGATTAAAATGTTGTGAACCTTCTAGTTCAAGTACAAAGTCCATGACATCTAATTAAATCCAGAAAACCAATAATCAAATGTTAACAGAGTAAATGACCAGTACAGTTTTGATACAGTGGCTGACTGGCACAGGTGGCTACTGAGGATATTCTGACGGGTAGGTAGTTCAGGTTGCTTGGGTCCTGTCCCCTGTTGACCCCATCATGTTGCTTTTTTGTGGTGCCACAGTGCAAATGCAAATTTTGTTCTTGTCCTCGACTCCGCTCAGGCTGATCTTCTCAGCGCACAGTGTGGACTTGTTTATGACAAAGCTCTACGATTCTACTGGCAAGACAATAAACTGTGGAGATCTGAAAAAAAAAAAACCCTCTGTGGCACCTATAACTCAGAGAGTTGTTCAGTGCTGTGGCTCCAGTATGTCAGTATTTATCTGCAGAACATTACCTGTCAATCACTGAGTTGATGAGCAACACTGAATATTGTAGCTCCAGATTTGTTGCTAGGTAGCACCAAAACCTGAGGGTTAAAAAGGGAAAACTCTTAACGCAAGTACAGCACCCTTTTTAGAAAAATTCTAACTTGTGTTCTAATACAGACTTGCCATAGATGCCGAATAGTGATAAGATTATAGATTGTATAGCAGAAAAGAGTTACTTTCTGCAAAGTTTAATAGAGCCAACAATGTAGGTTTAAAAAATACAGTAGCTTTCTCCTTTGGGATTCAGGTATAGTTGATGTTGTTAGGAAATACAGTATTTAATACTTTATATACTGTATGCTGTTGCTAATTATCATGCTCTCTGAAATCACGTTAGCACTGTAGCTTTGTAAGTAATATAAATAAATAAATTATATATATATATATATATATATATATATATATATATATATATATATATATATATATATATATATATATTTCAATGTTAAGTCAGTGATAAGTGGAGACAAAGCATAAAGTGATAGATGAAGAGAATGGCTGTGATGAAAAGTGGTCATTATGCCCTCTAGCAGCTTAACCTAATACAAGTTTGCAGAGATCTACTTTTTTCTCTTAAAGTTGCTCTTCAGACTCCATACAGAGCACAGGCATGTTGAAAACGCACTTTTCCAATATAAATACCCCAGTCTATTCCACTTTTTTACCTGTAATCCTTTGTGTGCGCAATTATTTAGACGTTTTGTAGATCAGGCCCTAAGACTGTTGCATGGGAGAAGTTTTCAACATCTCCTCTTTGAGCTTTTTTTGTTTTTGTTACTTAACTAACCCGGACGGGGGTTTACACTGGCCAGCCGAAATCTGTGTTATAGATTATCAGTTACATCTTGGACTGCTCCTTCAGAAGTTGTTGAAGTACTCAACATTAAAGGGTCTTGTGCAAACGGTAACACCCTGATAACTAAATAGGAAGAGAATGCAACTGATGGCAGATTTTCATCTAAAACTGATACTCTAGGAGTCAGACTAAGGTCACAGTTGCATCACAAAACATCTGCACTTAAAAAACATATTTTTTTTATTAGGAAAAGGGCTCTGTGAGGATTTAATACGGTTGTATTGAATAATTTAGCAGTTTGGAAAGATTAAATCCACTTTTCTCTTTTAGGGTGGTTAAGGCTATTCTAACTTTCTCGGTCCAGTCAGGATAATTTAATGATGTTGTATTCCACCATGAAAAAAAAAATCCCTTGTTAGATTTATCAAACATTTCAAACCACTATAGTCTTCAGGTAATAAGGTCTTCATTTCAAAACAATCTGAGCCTGTGTTAAGACACAGAGCTATCTGCTGGTAGCGCTCATTGGTGGCGTAAAGTTATACATCAACTGAGATATTAAGTTATTCAGATCCTTGTTACAACAGTACTTTGTTTAATGTCTTAAATCTTTAACTTCAGTAAAGAGTTGACAGTTTGCAGACGCACCCTCCCAGAGACCACACATGCTCTGTCACACAGAAGTTCTAGAGGGAGACTTTGTACCCTCACCAGAGAGTAAACAAGTGATGATTTACATTTGTAGCATGTTTTTCTTGCTTGTGAACCTTTATCTCTGCATTACATACAGATCCACCCCACGCCAGCTTAAAGACATGCCTCTTTAAAACATTTGAATATTGGTCGTGATCCTCACATGTTTGAATCTTTGTCTGGGTCAGGGATATTAGAAACTCAAGCTTCATTCTGAATCTGATCTTTTTAGAAATTTGGTTGACCTTATGCATTTAGTTTTGCTCTTTATTATCTGAATATAACCTACCTTTATTACTTCAAGGTTGCAAGTTGTATTATTTTCTCCTTCGTTTGTTTGATGTTGATTTTTTTTCTGGAAGCTCTTGCAGGAAGTTATGATCCATGTTTTTAATACTTGGACATTTTGCAGGATGTTGGACTGTTTGACTCTATTCTTCATATGCCAAAAAATACAACAGAATTGCTTTACTGAATAGAGAAGCTCCTGTGAACAGATTTTGCATCAACCATTCAGGCTTAAAATACTTTATCAATCATTTAATTTGTTTATCTTGTGAAATTTACAGCAAAGTAATTCTGCCACTTGAAACAAGACACTCTGGTGGCTCACCCCAAGGCATAAAGCTCATGACCAGCATGATGAAGCTCTATGACGCAAGCTTCCAAAACACCGCCTGTGTACACAGAAATACTGGTGCTGGAAGCAAAAGGAGTTAATTTACTACTGAGGTGTTAACAATGAAAGTACCTGGACTCTCCAGGAAGCTGGGTTTTGTTTTTCACTTTGAGTTGCAGGTCAGACAATGACAGGAAAGCCTTTTTTTGGGGGGGGGCGGGTGTTGCAAACACAACAAGAAGCTTGTCTTGCATCAGGAGACAAGTCATTCTTTGTTTTAAGTGCCGGAAGTGAAGTTTCACTGAAAAACTATTTAACCCCTGCAGCATCTTCCTTGGCTGTATTTTGATCAGCTTCTTTTTTCTTAGTATTTTCATCCATCATCAGCCTTTTGTTTTATTCGGTTTGTCTCTGTGAACGATAATAACAAACTATTTGAGCCGGGTGCTACTAACCTTTTTTCTTTTTCATACTGTTATGGTTCCTGTTATTTCCTACACTACTTTTTAAAGATATGAATATAAATATATGTAATTTTCAATTTTTTATTCATAGATGACTTTAAATCTTATTTGGTTGTGTTTTTGTGTTGATCAATGATTAGTTTGATTGATCCGTTGCAGTTTGGTTCAGAACCATAATCCATTGTATTTTATTAAGATAGAGATATATTTAGAAACTAATGGATGATTAATCTTAATGTAATATTTTAGCATTTTCTCTACATTTTCTAAAAATATTAAACAAGACAAGACAGAAGGTGAATTGGCATTGGTAATGGCAGATTCTGTGATTATGTGCATTCAAAGTTGCAAATTTTATTTGTATCTGTGTAAATATAGTGAGGCATATAAATATTAGAACTGCTATTTTGCAAGTTCTCTCACTGAGAAATCATGGAGGGGTCTAAAAAAGAAAAGATCCAGATAAAACAATATATTTTTTTAACTATTTTTTTATATGATACAGCTGCAAATAAGTATTTGAACACCTGAGAAAATCAACGTTAATATTTATATACAGTAGCCTTTGTTTGCAATTACAGAGGTCAAACGTTTCCTGTAGTTCTTTACCTGGTTTGCACACACTGCAGGAGGGATTTTGGCCCACTCCACACAGATCTTCTCTAGATCAGTCAGGTTTCTGGGCTGTCGCTGAGAAATACAGAGTTTGAGCTCCCTCCAAAGAGTCTTTATTGGGTTTAGGTCTGGAGACTGGCTGGGCCATGCCACAACTTTGATATGCTTCTTTCAGAGCCACTCCTTGGTTATCCTGGCTGTGTGCTTCAGGCAGAGATGGCAAAAGTACTCACTTTCTGTACTTGAGTAAAAGTACAGATACTTGTGTTAAAAAATACTCTGGTAAAATGGTAATGGTAAATGGTAAATGGTAAATGGCATGTACTTATATAGCGCCTTTATTCAAGTTAGGAGACTTGACCAAAGCGCTTTACACTACATTCATTCACCCATTCACGCACACACTCACACACTGATGGTGGCAAGCTACATTGTAGCCACAGCTGCCCTGGGGCTCACTGACAGAAGCGAGGCTGCCGTACACTGGCGCCACCGGGCCCTCTGACCACCATCAGTAGACAATGCAGGTGAAGTGTCTTGCCCAAGGACACAACGACAATGAAAGTCAGAGTCGGGGCTTGAACCGTCAACCCTTCGATTTCAGGGCAAACTCCTACATCCAACGCCACTGTCGCCCCAGAGTGGAAGTACTTATTAAACTTCTTTACTCAAGTAAAAGTAACAAAGTACAGGCTTGTAAATTTACTTAAAGTATAAAAGTAAAAGTAGAAACCACTTTTTTCATGCCGTTGCCTACATTTTAAATGGATGTCTGCCAATAGGACTAGATCTCCGTTGTGTTAATTTTCAATCATCTCGTCGTCCATAGTACTATGCTAACGCCACTGCCACCAAGCTGCAATGATTTGCCGCCAATGAATACCGCCGAATCTGTCGATTCATCTTGTAGTGGTGCGTCAAATGCAACGTAGATTCCCATCTAATTAGACTGAATTTGGTATTTGTGAGAAAAGGGCTCGCCAGCTCCCATCTCACGTCAGAGGAGGTGTAAGCAGATGACTTGCAAAAAGGTGGTAAGAACCAGCGGACAACAAAATTCCAGTTCAAAAGTGTGTAGCGGTTTACTGGTGCAACGGTGAAGACAAAAAAAAAACAAAACAAACAAAATACTTTCAAATAAAGAAAACAAAACCGGCCATTGCAGGCAATACAAAACACTGACAGCCTCACAGCAAGCTGACTTTAAATATAGTCTCTCTAAGCAGACCTTCAAGAGCACTTTCTCCAACCAGTCTCTCCAAGCAGACCCCTAAGCCATTGGGAGTGTGCCCCTTAAATAGACCCACCAATAATCAGCCAATTGGGACAGCCCAACTAAACAGGAAGGGAAATCCCCAATAAAGCACAGTTAACATTGTAGAAAAATTGGAAAATGATATATGTTCATAACTACTAGCCACACTCATCTATCATATGGAATAATAGATTTATTCTACATTGCAATAAGTCATTATTCTACAAAGATTGGATGGAGAAGAATATTTGGTCTATTATACACTTAATGGACACTAATGGTTACATATTAAATTACGAACAATTCTGTACAAAATATCAGTTCCTTCCTCCAAAAGATGAATTTATAAGATTACTTAACGCCTTGCCAGAACAATTTATTAATCAGATTCAAAATATAATCATATATCATCCAATTACCTCCAAACTACCCGATTTATCTATTAATAGAATATCAATCACTGATCAAAAATTCAATAACCACACAATTAGAAACTATCTAAATGAAACTTTGTTCCCTGGGAAGATAAATAAAAATAACATTCTTTGCAAATTTGAACAAAAATCAATTGAAATACTAAGAACTGTTTTTTT